CCGCGGCGTGTATTCTTAGGAGTAAAACTGCCAGGGGTGGCTGAGGTAATATCTCAACGGTGTGTTATTTAAAAGGACGCCGATACCACAAGGTCACTAAAGATAGTTACCTCGGTCTTTCCCTTAGGGAATAACGTAATTCTAGTCCAGGTGAATAAGAATTAAAATTAATTTTAAAGGTAAAATTGCCTCAGGAGCTAACCTTGCTCTCAGGAATAAAGCAAATTCTTGGCGTCTGGGGTAACTTTAGCCAAGACTCGAGTTCTTAAAGTAAAATTTTGGTGGAACCTGAGGTCATTTCAGCCATGTCCCTTTAAAAAGGACCAAACCACCGTAGCTGAATAAGAGTTAAAATTAGCTTCAAACGACCACAGGGGGGTAAGAATTAAAATTAATTTTAAAGGTAAAATTGCCTCAAGAGCTGACCTTCCTCTCGGGAATAAAGCAAATTCTCGGCGCCTGAGGTAATTTTAGCCATACCCCTTTAAAAAGGAGCAAACCACCGTAGCTGAATAAGAGTTAAAATTAGCTTCAAACGACCACGGGGGGGGGGGATAAGAATTAAAATTAATTTTAAAGGTAAAATTGACTCATGAGCTGACCTTGCTCTCAGGAATAAAGCAAATTCTTGGCGCCTGAGGTAATTTTAGCCATGCCCTTTTAAAAAGGAGCAAACCACCATAGCTGAATAAGAGTTAAAATTTGCTTCAAACGACCACAGGGGCTAAGAATTAAAATTAATTTTAAAGGTAAAATTGCCTCAAGAGCTGACCTTCCTCTCGGGAATAAAGCAAATTCTTGGCGCCTGAGGTAATTTTAGCCATGCCTCTTTTAAAAGGAGCAAACCACCACCGCTAAATAAGAGTTAAAATTAGCTTCAAACGACCACGGGGGGGGAATAAGAATTAAAATTAATTTTAAAGGTAAAATTGACTCATGAGCTGACCTTCCTCTCGGGAATAAAGCAAATTCTTGGTGCCTGAGGTAATTTTAGCCATGCCCCTTTAAAAAGGAGCAAACCACCACCGCTGAATAAGAGTTAAAATTAGCTTCAAACGACCACGGGGGGGGGATAAGAATTAAAATTAATTTTAAAGGTGAATTCTTGGCGCCGGAGGTACTTTTAGCCAAGACTCAGGTTCTCAGAGTAAAATTTTGGTGGAACCTGAGGTAGTTTCAGCCATGTCTCTTTAAAGAGGAGCAAACCAGCGCAGGTGAATAAGTTAAAATTAGCTTCAGAATAAAGTCTGAGATAGCCACGTCTTTGCAGGCTAAAAGTACTTCAAGTAAGAAAAAAGGTGAACGTTAATTAAAATTACTTCAGAGCCAGGAGCTGATCTGACTCTCGGGAATAAAGATGAGGCAATTTCAGCCAGGTGCGGTTAAAAGGGCTAAACGACCACAGGTGAACAAGCGTTAAAATTAGCTTAAAGGCAAAATTGCTCCAGTATCTGGAGTTGCCCTTACTTTCTTGAATACACGCAACTCTTGGGACGTGAGGAAATGGTAGTCAAGGCTCAAATGCTTAAAACGGGCGCCGCGCCTTTTTTTTTTTTGCATTGCCGGAGCTGGGGTGGGCGTGGCCTCCGAATGACGTAACCGGGTTGTGGCACCTTAAAACGGGTGCCGCGCCTTTTTTGGGGGGGGGGCATTGCCGGAGCTGGGGTGGGCGTGGCCTCGGTATGACGCAACCGGCTTGTGGGCCGGCACTTTGACACCCGCTTTAAGGATTTGAGCCTTGACTTTCTTGAATACACGCAACTCTTGGGACCTGAGGAAATGGGAGTCAAGGCTCAAATCCTTAAAACAGGGGGGGGGGTCAAACTGCCGGCCCACAAGCCGGTTGCATCATACGGAG